CACTCATATCCTTAGCCTGACATCCACATATATATGATATATGTTGTTGAAGTTTACATGTGTTTAAAGCGTGTGGGAGGGGTATTTTAAAGCTTAAACTATTAAAAAATGTTTATTTATATGGTCTTTCTATCACCTATCGCTGATGGGTCTGGAACGCATCTTCCGCGATAGTCGGGGGATCACTGTATATTTTATTTAACAGCAGGTGGAAGATGGCTGGGTAGATACACTGTAATTATATGTCCGAGGTAAGGATTCTGTCTACCGTTACTGCAGAAAGGAGATGTTACTCAGCATAGTAAAGAGGTACGACTCAGGAGAATATTGCCCGCCCTGGACTCACAAACCTTGATTCCACTTTCATCTCCAGCGTCTTCGTCTACAGAAGCCAATGTGGCCCGGAGACCCACACTTTGACCTTGAAGGCCCTGGCTTTGGCTGAGAAGACGTCTCTCGGCAGAGAGCCACCAATCATGGAGATCCTGCAGTTCAGATCGCTCTACGGAGCCCAGCAGGGTCATGGACTCTGCGGGCGTCACATTGAGACACAGCATTGCATTATATTAAACTTTTGTCCATAACTATAAATATGAAGTCCACTCTCAGCATATATGGTTCCAAGCTAGTCTTTTCTTTTAGTCACTTTCTATTGTAGTCTCACCTTAAGGGAAAATGGTTCTGTTTGTGTTATTCATAGAAAACTTCAATACACCTCAGTAAGGTTTCAGTGTTACAGAATATGATCTCATTGTGATTCTTGCTGAGAACTTGGGCTCATTGTGATCGTGGCTGCATCTCATCTCACTTCTACAAAGAAACAACACTTGCCAAAAATCTGCCTGTTCATGGACAAAAACGCAATCTCAGAGGTGCAGCCTGTTCTTATGAAGGATTAGCTGGGTTTCCTCAGTAGGCAACGTTGTGCTTTTACCCTTTGATTCAACGAGGGGGATGGTTGTGAATGACGTAGACTCCAGAAGATTATTCAGCTCCCTATATGTTGACTGTGATGAGAGAAATTTCACTCGCCTGACCATTATATCCTCCACAAATATGTTGTAGTGACTGTGAGACAAGGGGAAAGCAGAGTTAAAACAGCCTTTAACACAACCTGCCAGCAGAAAGAAAGACGGAACGAGCAGAAATGGCTTATTCTGCAATGTGTTTGTACTGCTCACCTTCATGTTTAAACCTGCATTCTAACATGAGCCCCTCTGTAGAGGCAGAATTCCAGCCAGAACAAACCTGAAGTGTCCAAAACCCAACTCCGGCAGGTAGGGCAGCTTCTTGACTTGGATGATAGAGTCGTAGAGCGACGGCTGCAGCCCCTGAGCCACCATATTAGCCAGGATCACAGCCACCATCATGGGTAGGATGTGCGAGATCTGGCCCGTCAGCTCAAAGCAGATGACGGCGGTGGAAACGGTGTGGGTCACGGCCCCCGTCAGAGCTGCTGCTCCTGGGCGGTGGACGAAGACAAAGCCGGTGAGAAGAAGGTAGAGAAGAAAAAAGAGATGGAAGAATGGGGGTGGCCCAGGCAGTGAAGGGAGATCGGAGGCTGACCAATGACCGCGTAGCCTCCCGGAAGGATCTGGTACACAATCCCATCAAACAGGATCCCACTGGGGAACAGAGTGGCCATTATTTCTCCGACCAGTCGGCCAAAGGTGGCACCTGAAAGGACAGACGTGGGGCACAGTCATGCAAGCGGCTTAATGCTACACTTGCTGCAGTTTCCATTGCAATCCCAGCCATACAAAGAGAGCCACAGGGCCCCAGGATCCGCCAATAGCATTAGCATCTCCACTCTAGGTTAAGAAGTAATCAGTCAGCTGCACGATTTAGCTTTACCGAGTATGAAGACGGGTATGAAGGCACCGGAGGGAATGGGCATCGTAGTGGAAACAGCTGACATCCAAAACTGAAAGATTACGTCGATATATTAGTGCTTACATGCATATTAACACATTAATATTAAAAAACTGGCTCCTTTAGGGGAAAATGATGCAGTGGAAGGCTGTACCAAACATTTTACATTAGGATTCTGGACTGTATCTTTCCAGTTTTATGTATCTTTTTCTCAATGACTGTTGCATCTGCAGAAAAGCCAAAATTTTATACGGATAACATTGCATGTAAATAGTTTTTAACTTGTAGGGAAATTGAAAAGCATAGTTTTATTACTACTTATTTATGAAGTTTTTCTTTAATACATTAAGTATAGTGATGTTTTGGTTGTTTACTAATTTAATCGCATTGCCAGAAGAACTGAATGCACCTGAATAAATTTTCAGTTCTCGTCAATAGTCATTCCTGCTCCCAAAAATCCTGATTTTAATTTTGTCTTTCTCTGTGCAGAACAACCACAAATGCATTTTTAAAATTTTAATTCAAAATACATTGTATTAAATTTGAAAGCCATTGATTTAGCAAGATTTTGTAAAATTTACATAAAGAAATCGATAAAAGCATAAAAGTTACATATGCATTACAATCATGTGTGCATGCATGAAATCACAGGCACTGGGGTCGAGATACCATGCGATGGTGTCTGAGGAGTTGGTTGTGAGTGTCACCCCGATCATGCCGATCCTCCTGTGCCACGCCCCCCTTGCTAACCTCATGTGGATTCCCAGTGTTTAACAGCTGTTTCTGATTGTTGTCATTAGTCTAGTGTATTTAGTCCGCGTTTCTGTTCGTTTCCCAAGTCCAGTCATTGACGTTACGTGTGTTTTGAAGTCTGTTACTTCAGCAATAAAGCCCCTTTTGTTCGTATGCATGGTTTCCGTCTCCTGCTTCCCGTGTCGGATCGTGACAGTGAGTAATGAGTGAATATATTCCTGCATATATTATTGAATACATCCATAGCATTCATGTTTGTTTGACACTTCACAGCACCTTCCTCATGGTCTGGGCTGCTAAGCCAGATCAGCTGTGCAGTATTTAGTCTTTATTGAAGTTATAGGGGGAGCTTATATGCAGAGAAGCTAATTAAGGAATACTGACACACTCCAACTGCGCAGCACACGCAGATAAGGTGTTTAAGGAATACTGACACACTCCAACTGCGCAGCACACGCAGATAAGGTGTTTAAGGAATACTGACACACTCCAACTGCGCAGCACACGCAGATAAGGTGTTTAAGGAATACTGACACACCCCAAATGCGCAGCGCATGCAGACGGCCATTCAAAATTAAGCACATCCATTCACTTATGGAGCACAGACTTTCAACCAAAGAAGCGCATATCTATCAGAAAGCAGGCCCTGGGATTCAAACTGGCGACCATCTGATCACACAGCATCCTCAAATGCGCAGGCAGCCCACTCATTCACACTGCAAGGGGTGCACATGTGTAGGAGGTGTGTTTACCTTCATGATGAAGAAAAGGAGCAGGATGACAAAGACATTGACATCAGGGTGCAGCCATGCAGCCGACTTGCCCAGGCCAGGGGGCACCGGGGAGTTCCAGATTTTGGACCAGGTGAAATTGTCAAAAAGGGAATTGACACTTTCCCTGGGCATCAGCTGGTGGGGGGGGGGGGGGGACATTAAGGCCAGAACAGATAACTGCCCTGGAACTGTCCTATGCACTGAAGCCAAGCAAACACTGAGACTATTATGAGGGAATGTAGGGATTGAATGGTGCTTGATCACAACCTTTAATCAAATCAACAGAAAGGTCTATACAAACATTTTCTGTAGTGTTTTTTTTAACCCTGCAAGTGACATATCAGGATTGGCTGGAGGGACCAAGAAATGCTGATACAGTATTCCTTTCCCCTGGAATGATGAGTCTGACCCCCCCCCCCCACTGTATAAATTTCCTGTGCTCACACTGGTTAGGCTCATGTACTACATGCACATCTTTCTTACATTGCCAGCAGAGGGGTAAATATTTCGTTTACATAAAAGTGACTAGATGTTTGGTGACATGTTAAATAACATGTAATTTTGTAATGTTTCCCACACTAAAGGAATGTCACGTACTGTACGCTCTGATGTCACAAAGTTCCTATGATACACAACGACATCTGACACACATTCATTGTACAAATGCACAGGACGACTGAAGCCTAAATCATAAAATACACAATGGCTCATTTTACAGCAAATACAGTAACCTAATTATTATTGTAATTTTATTATAATTTTGCTGATAGATATATATATAGATATAGATATATAGATATATCTATATCTATATCTATACACACACACATGTATGTATATACACGTTTAAAATGACTCTTAATTGACACGATTGACTTCACAGAGCTGGCACCTCCAGCCATTCATTCCTGCATCTTCCAGCCCCTTATCTTGTCGAGCCGGCTTCCTCCAGGGGCTCAACCCGGCCTGCACGAGCTAAAGGTTTGGTTAAATGTGGGGATCATGCAAAATATGGAGGGATCCAAGGAGCACAAGGTGGAGGAGCACCCTGGATTGTATGATAATTAAAGCTTTTTTAGAAGCAAAATACTAGCTTGACTGCCCCCATGTGGACAAACTTTAAACTGCTCATTGGCAGTTACAGTGCACCATTTAGTTCTGAATAAATATGCCCTATAAGATGCACTATAAAGTGAACGGGACAGAGTTCGAGAGAATGAACAAAACAGTGCTAACCTCTCCAGCAAAAAACTGTCCAAATCCAGGAGGAAAGGTTAAACTTGCAACCAAAAAGGTCACCACACCTGGATAAACAAATCGGCTGGAAAATAAAAATAGTGACATTAAAAGAAAAGTTAAATGTAGTTGTGCAAATATGCCATAATAAAAAGAATGAATGAATAAGAGTGCATTGCCTGCTCACTGCCTAGTGAGGAAGCTGGTCAGCGTGTTCTGTCTTCGCATCAGCAGCACCACTTGGCGGTTGAGGTAGACAAAGAAGGCACCCAAAAATCCACAAGAAATGCTGCAGGCACAAAATGACTCGTTTGGCAATTATAGTTTGTTATTTGTTTTATTTCACAAATGCGAATTTTGCGACTACTCTGCACATAAACTCCTCGTCCATTCGATCTGCTCAAGTCCCCAAATCCATAAGCACTGACAGAAAGCTATACCCAAACAGCCCTGAAGAGGCACTATCTACTCCAACTGGCTTTCTAGTGTCCCAGGAGGCAAAATCTTTCCAAGGTTTAGCCTTTAGCATGACACTAGCGGATAACAACCACAGATTTCTATTTACTGGTTAATTCCAAGAATTTTCTCCGTGTTAAGGTTTGCATGGCTCTAAATGTATCTAAAAGACCATTTTCTTACCCTATGATAGCAAAAGCGGGGAGCTCCTGGAGGTCGAAGGGGAAGTCCATGCGGAAGTTTGTGCGGAAGAGAGCCGTTATGGTGACTTGCAGGGAGAGATTAGGAGACGAGGTGTTCATCAGAATAAGGAGAGAATGAGTAACAGCAGCAGCATTCATTAGCTAGAACATACAATAGTAAATTATTTAATCGATTCTAAAGATTTGGACATTGCTGCCTTAGAAAAGGTGCAACGAAGAGCTACGAGAATGATTCCTGGTCTTAGAGGAATGTCTTATGAGGAGAGGTTAGCGGAACTGAATCTGTTTAGCCTTGAGCAAAGGAGACTAAGGGGGGATATGATTCAGGTCTATAAGATTCTAACGGGTCTGGATGCTGTTCAGCCAAATGACTATTTCAATATTAGTCTAAATACTAGAACTCGTGGCCATAAGTGGAAATTAGCGGGAGAACATTTTAAAACAAATTTGAGGAAGCACTTCTTTACACAGCGTGTAGTCAGAGTATGGAATAGTCTTCCTGCTAGTGTAGCGGAAACTAAAACCATGGGTTCCTTTAAATCAGAGCTAGATAAGATTTTAACAACTCTGAGCTATTAGTTAAGTTCTCCCCAAACAAGCTTGATGGGCCGTTGAGGTAGACAAAGATAAATGTATAAATTTCTTATATACAGTTAAACATCTGAATGTTTAATTCATTTCAGGATTTATGCAACTGACAAAGCAGTGGCAGATGACACTGCAGAGTTAGTGTTTGTGGTGTACAGTGTAGTAAGGGCACAGAGTATCATGACAGGACGCAGGGAAAGAATGACAACCCAGAATGCAGCTCGTAACAAACAGGTATTATACTGAAATCAAAAGCACAAGAAAACAACAGGGACCACGGGAGGTCAAAACAAAAGCAGCTAGGTTAGGCGAAGATGAACAAGACTGGAGCTAAACATGAGGAAAAGCAGAGGGAACACATGCAAAATACTTACAACAGCCACAGAATTACAGGTGGGTAACGCATACAATGACCAACTAAAGAACAGAGCAAAGGAAGGGACATATATACACAGGTAACCAGGACTAAACAAAGAAACAGGTGCGGGCCATTGACAATAAAGCAAACAATAGGGCTGGGAATAATAAGGAACAGGTGTGGGTCCTTAATCACGAAGGATTCAAGCACTAGAAATGGGATGACCAATGGCACCTGCTGGCCAAGTAGGTAAACGACAAACAGGACAGGGCAAGAACTGATCCTGACACAGAGGAAGGGTTACCGATCACCAACACAATGACCAAAAACCACATTTCACTATTTGAGAAAGGTCAGTAGATGGGGTGGCCTTCTAATCTCACTCACCTGCATCTTTGTTAAATACAGACAGACATCTGAATATGAATGCACTGAAAGTAGCAGCAAAGTAGCCTCTCCAGTAGTTCCTCACAGCAAAGTAGGCAGATGTAACCTCAATACTGAACAGCACCCCTGGTGAACAGATAAGGAGAGAGCACTTGAGGGAAAAGTGTAGCTGAAGGATCTTTGGAAGAAGGAGGAGAGAGGAACAATAAATAACAGACAGAACACTGAGGAGGAGAAAAGGGTGATTATCTGGGTGCTTTACCTCCCAAAGGACTGCCGAAGCAACAGCCGACTCCCACGGCACAGCCCACTGTCAGGATGTCTGTGTAACAATAGGGGTTCTGGGGGGGGCATAGAATGAATGGAAGAGTGAGCAAAAAGGAGGAAAGTGATAAGGTAAGGAGGAGGGGAAGAAGGTGAGGTACAGAGAGTTGGGGGACAGGATGCAAAGGATTAAAGGAGAGATGGAGGGAATGGAGAGCATGAGAGAGGAAGGGGAAGGAGTGATGAAAGAGAGATGGAGGGAATGGACAGCATGAGAGAGGATGGGGAGGGAGTGATGAAGAAGAGATGGAGGGAATGGAGAGCATGAGAGAGGAAGGGGAGGAGCAAGGAGTGTTGGTGCCCAGAAGAAGAGCAAAAGCACTGAATGCACAGTGTATACATGCTTATGTGCAGAAAAAGCAGAAACACAAAGAAACGGTAAACAAATGGAAACTGCTGAGGCTGCTATTAATGCCATAAGGGGTGCTGGTGGGAAAATACCTGCCAGCATGGAAGCACATCACCAAAATCCAGTGAGGGTCCAGCAGTTACTGTTAAAGGCAGCTCATAAGTAGTAAAGTGCTACTGTAATTGCTGAAAGAAACGCTCTATAAAAAATGTAACAACAGACAGTTGTTCTGAATAAATTCATATTTCATGTCAATGGGTCCTTTAGTGAATATGTTTTGTGTAATTGCAAACTTGCCCCTTGGCATTTTTCTGCCTGTTATCCAATGCGGTTTAACCCCCACATGTTTCACAACAGCATGCTTAAGGCTGACTTGTAGAAGCAGCTGCGTAGCATGATGGAGCCTCTGGGCTGCAGGGCTGCGTACCTGGTACACACCGGAGATGGTGGACATCAGCTTGCTTACCATTACTGCGCAGATGCTGGCTATGTGCACGAATGGGCCCTGCAGACATAGACCATGAAAGCAATCACCTTCCCATATTGTCAAAAGGCATTTTGGTTTGAACAACTCATGCATCCCCAGCTGCAGATATAAGGAGCTGGAGTTACAATGAGGTCTGATTCCCAGGAAGCGTTTGTACAGCATGTTTAATTTGGCATTGGGTAGGGCAGTAGGGTAGAAGTGGAACCTCTTTGCCCAGAGGCATCCCGCTGCCCAGGGCAGCTGTCAGGCCGATGACTTTGGCCACGAAGGCTTTGACAGTGAGATACTCCTTCAGCATGACCCCTCTGAGGATGGTTTTCATCTCCGGAATGCCCGAACCTGGGGCACAGAAGACAGGGCAGAAGGTTGCAATGATCGCTGTAAGGTGCCTTCCTTTGACGGCACCCTTTCAGAAACCAGCGCAAAAACATTCAGGACAACATTAGAAATTATTATTTTATGTTTCCTCATAAGTCCTGAAGTTACACGTATCTGGTTTTTTGGTTTTGTAACTGTACTCAAATGACCACTAATACACTCCACAATGATTTGCAGTTAATATTTTTTGTAATATTGAATTTTTGTAGCAAAATCATTCCTTTAATTTCCCATCTCCTGACCCAGTGCACAGTGTCCCTGGCCTGGTGTGTTCCACCCATCCCAGCACCATGGGGGTCGAGGCAGGGGAGCACCCAGGACAGAGGAGCAGTGACAGAGACCACACTAGCCTAACTGCACGCCTTTGGGCTGTAGGGTGAGAGGAAGAACACGGCGACTCCACAAATTCACAGCAGCTCTGTGGACGTGACACATGGACTCCACAGAGACACAGCAGCTCTGCGGACGTGACACGGCGACCACACACACAGTACACACCGACTGACTGCGGTGTACAAGCACACGGCGACCACACACACAGTACACACCGACTGACTGCGGTGCCACCATCTGGCAGAAAAGGGAGGCGAAGATGATGAGCATCATGGGATATGCAATCCAGACCAGGTACTGCAGGGCCACGTTCCCCCTCAGCTCACTGTACATCCACTTGTACACTGGGGGAGTAGACGAGAGACAGGGGCGGCTGTTGGACAGATGTGCGGTATAACTATCTCATCATATACAGAATATACAGAATATCTACACACACTCAGCCTGCTGCACTGGGATCATGCTCAAAAGAATATTGAATGTGCAATCCTTGAATGCACATTCAAAAGCTCTTTTATGTATTATGTGCCCTGCAATGAGAGTGAAACAAGCCAGCATAATCTGATGCACAGCACACACTCAAGTCATACTCTGGCTATACTCAGGCCATACTCTGGCAATACTCTGCCAAATACTCAGGCCTTACTTAGGCAATCCTCAGGCCATACTCAGGCCATACTGTACTCAGCTGTGGTGCCGCTTACAAACAGGCAGGAGGGCTGTACCTTGCAGGCTCTTGCTGCTAGCGTAATCCATGGTCCAGCTCAACAGGGCCATGGTAATGCCCAGGAGCACCAGGAAGATCCAGTCCTCACCCAGCTTCTCCACAACGTACATGTGCATTCGCGCCACACAGTCTGTGCAACGAGAGAGTGTGCTCCAGCTCACAGGAGAATCAGCACACAGTGACAGGGCGCTGTGACCTGCAATCTTTCCTATGCTAAAGTATAACACTGTACCTTTGAAGAAATTTAGGAGGCAAGGGGATACATAAGCAAATTCCTTACTATGATAAGCTGGTTGTCACAATGCAGCTCCTTAAGCTCTTTGCTGTTTGGCCTCTGATGTTATGGACACATACAGGAGCAGAGTTCTGCGCTGCTGGCCTTCACTACGACGTTGCTCTCCAGCGTCTTACCTCTGCACTCAGAGTAACGATGCAGCTTCTTCCTCTTGAAGAATTGATCATTTTGTTCAGCAGTTTCTGAGGGAGGTTTTCCAGCCCCCTGAGTAGCAGGATGAGCCTGATTTGTGTAAAACAGCTGCCTAGATTTCTTCTGAGCTGTGATTCCCAGCTGCTCCCTGTACTGTCCATACAACTAAAGAGAGCAATACTACATTACCCATTATGCCCAAAGAGAGAAGCACTACATTACCCATAATGCCCTCCATCACATTAGGTAAATGCATCAGAGTGAACATTACAGACTCCGGTTTGTCCCTACAACCCAAAAACATGTTGAGGTTAATTGGAGTTACTAAATTACCCATAAGTGTGCGTGTGTGAGTGACTGGTGTGTGAGTGACTGGTGTGTGAGTGTCCCCTGCAATGGGTTGGTGCCCCATCCTGGGTTATTTCCTGCCTTGCGCCCGCAGCCTTTGGGATAGGCTCTGGATCCAGAATGGGATAAGTGGTTACAGAAAATGAATGGATGGATGGGTGGATGGATGGATGAACATTGTAAGTCATTTACTCACTTTTGGTTCACCTGAATACATCCATATTTGGACTAAGTACTTGATAGGGTCACGCAGTATTCTAGAAAAATCAGGAAAGCACCATTTCCACATAAATGGGAAAATCAAATGGAAATATAGATGCTTTACTTTACGGAGCACAAAAAACCGTAGCATTATGTTATTACTTATGCAGTAATAAACCACAAACTAAGTCTCTTGATCTAAGATCTCAAGTTCTTTCATCATTTATTAATGGTGACTGATCTTTTATCCCAAGCAGTTATTATAATTGTTACTATATCTGTTAATTCTGTAAACCTTTGTGAGCTACTGAAGGAACAAGTGATGAATAGCACAAGGGAAATGCTGAGCTCATGTCTGTTTGTCATTAATGAATCATGGTGCATCTTTTATCTCAAGATTATTTGTTCATGATTTGTACTCTAGTAGTTACTGAGTTCATTTCAGCCTCAGAGCCCCTTCCAGTGTTACTGATTTTCCATACCAATCACTTCCATGGCTGACAGTAGCATTAATCCTGCAAGTCTTCATCACCCTAGCACAGCCTTTGACATCTTAAATGAAGCATAAGAAGTTTAATGTTTAAATGTATTACATAACCAGGCATTCTCTATATATCTTTGATACATAGATTTTTCATTATTAAAATTAACTAGGGGTTAGTATTGACCTTTGTATGAAGTAGTATCAAGACCTTTTTTTATTTATTTTTATTGTACTTTCATTTTCCTTGAACCCTGCTTTGTTTTATATATAAAATATCAAATATATAATATATATAATATCTCGTTCATTCTCAGGTATTATATTTTAATCAAATTACTTCATTACTAAAGGGAAACTTTAAAAATAGCTATTTTTGTGATTCCTTTTTGTCCTTTTACTAAAAGTCAGCTGTGGCATCTATTTTGAAGATTTTTCCTCATTAGTCAGCAACAAATAATCAGAGTAATATTTTATGTTCTGGTGGTGCAGACACGCACAGAGAAATGCTGAGGAGGTAAATGCTCTATCAAAAATATCATGTTTATGTGTAACAGTATCCGAATTACAGTACAGCAAAGTTTGTTAATGTTAGATACTTACATTTCTTTGATGATGCTGATTGAATATAACTGTAAGGTCTACAAGTGCAAAAAGAGTTAATTGTCTGTGAGAAAGATTTATGACTTTGAAGTAAATATGTACAGAATTTAAATAGGTTTTGTTTCTGCTGTCACTCTATAATTATAGCTATTTTGGCCTGATATTGCCTGTGCTTGGCATGAGAATGTGCTGTGCTCTTCAAAAACCCGCGGTCCTGCCCTCAGCCAGCGCTGCCCGAGAGCGACTCCCTGCTGAGCCACCGGAGGGCGTCACTGAGCCGGGGCCCCGACGTGCCTCACAATGTCCACGGCTCCTCTGTCACTGTCACCTTTCTCACATTTTACCGTTACAGGGTTGCAGTAGCTAAATCTTCACACTTTGCCACATGTTTCAGTGTTTTCTCTCTCACCTCCAGCCCCCCCCCCCCTCCTTGGTGTAACCCTACTCTTCCTGTTATATTTAGCTTTCACTGGACCCACGTGGTCACTTGTATGTCTCTCCTCAGCCTAATTCCTGATTGATATCAAGCATCCAGTTCCCTCACACTGGACCCTAAAATTCCAGGATCCTGCTTGTGCCCCATGCTGAGCTCCAGTTAATCAGATTAGACTTAATTGTTTGCTGCTTGATATAGTATCCATTTAGTGTTTATTGTATGCATTTATGAAATGTAATTTTGCCATTTTTATTAATTATTCTAAATTAGTTTTAACGTTTATATATACCAGTTTGGGGCGGATAGGTGGATGGTATCGCTCCTGGCGAGGGATTCTGGCTTTCTATAATAACAGACATGTTTTGATGTTAGCGCAAAGGTAGCTAGTCAGCGTAGCGTACATCACAAAAGCTGCACGATAATTCATTTACTGTAATGCAAGCATTAAAAATCTTTCTTTTCTTGGGTTCCTGTGTTTGTGAACTTCAATGTGTTACATTTTATTTGCTTTTAAGATATTTTTATCTTTTCTTATTGCTGTGGATTTATGTCTATTTATAACAAAACATCCATGGAGATCAGTGTCCCAGAGCCAGTGAGTTTGCTGCGTCGCCATGCCATCGTTGTGTGTGGCTAATATACCTGTACCTGAATATATTAAATATCCAGTATGTTTGTCTCCTCTTTATACATTCTGTGACTCACCAACTTTTATCTTAATTACTGGTTGGCAAATTTGTTAATGATTTCTGTGATTCAGTACAATATACCTAGACAGACACCAATAAGAAAGTTGTCATCAACTAATTTCGATATATAATTTCAGAAAGCAGTTATATATAATTTCACGAGCGTGTAAAACATTTTAGCATTTAAAACCAAAATCTTTGACTGGTCAGCTGAAATTCTGAGTGAGCTAGTCAGTGACGATGTTGTTTACAAAACAGTTTGTCATATGGGTTGAAATAAAAAAAAGTCTAAATGAGTCAAACAATAAATCCATTCACTCATCTTCTAAACTCTCATCATGGTCTGAGGTCACACAACAAATCCATCCATACATTCTCTCTACCCACTTGACCTATGCAGGGTCGGGGGATCCAGAGCCTATCCTGAAGGCTACGGGCACAAGGCAGGGAACAACCCAGGATGGGACGCCAACCCATCGCAGGGCACACTCACACACCTATGGGCAATTTGGTAACTCCAGTTAATCTCAGCATGTTTTTGGACTGTGGGGGGAAACCGGAGTACCCAGAGGAAACCCCACGACAACACAGGGAGAACATGCAAACTCCACACACGGACCCATGGTGGAGACTCGAACCCTGGTCCCAGAGGTGTGAGGCAATACTGATAATAATTGTATCATCAAATTTTAAAAACACTGAAACACTGAAATATCAGCAAGAATAAGCCACAGCTCATTCTTTCACTCGGAACTAATCCAATGTTACTCTTATTTATTCAATTACATTTTCAATAGCAACAAAAATTTTAAAAAGAAAATTAACGAACAGATGTAAAAGATCACCATACTGCGCAAATCAAATCTGCATGCAATGGCACAAAACTGGATGCCACATTCCAGCAAACACACAATAAATATTCAAAAATCCTTAACTACAGAATATTGAATGTACTATGAATTTACAATGCACATATATCATATAAGCATATTTCACGCAGAAGTAAAAAAAAATATCATTTACTGTGAAAGAAAGGCTTCCATTAAAAATAACATTAAAAACACAGAATCACTCAGAGCAGGGATGCAGTGTTTTACTGAAGAAGTTGGAAGGACCAGGTGGTCAGCTAGCCAATGCATGTAGAGCTGAGACTCATCATGCCAGACATCATCCTAGAGGGACCAACAGTCAATGGGAAATAAACCACGGCTCCACACAACAGTCTGCTTTGCAGGGTGTTCCCTAAGAGAGGCTTCTAGGAGGATACCGCATGTGGCAGGAGGTGGACAGCAGGAGAGAAGCAATATGGCAGTGAAGCAGAGTGAAGCAGAGTGAAGCAGAGAGGGAGCGATACTGACCAGGGTTTGCTGGTATCTCAGAGCCTTCCGCTGCGAAGCATTGCCGGCCATTGACATACTGTCACTGACCCAAAAATAAACATGCGGTCTCCCTCAACATTTTCAGTTGGAGAGCGGGAACAGCTACCCGACCTGCCTCAGCACCGTCCTCCAAACTGATATGATCTTCGGGAAACAATGACGATGTGCAAACTCAACAGCTTCTTTAATTAGGAAGCATCAGGTTGACGGGACAGCATCAGGTGTCATGCAGGACACCAACACTCACGATGTAACCCGTGGCAACAGATTAGAGGGTGATCAGCTGTCATTTATTTTTTGATGGTGTTGTTTGGGCATGGGGGGTCCTAGGCGGGATTCACTCTGGGAGCTGCCAAAGCCTCGTGACGAGTCTGTTCTGGGATCAGCACACGGCATGTCGCCCCTCTGAGCTCCAGCCGACTGCCGGTTCGGGAATCCCGCCAGCCTCGTCCACCACGCCCTGCCGTCCTCCGTAGTTCTCACCTTTACCACAGATAACAGTCATACAATATCGCAATTGCTGAGAGACGTGAGCAACCGAGAGCCGTATAACCTGCACGCCGGCGTTTGTGTGACTTTCAGTGTGACTGTATGTTTATGGTGTCTGTGCAGCGCGGGCTGAACATTTACTGTAGCTTAATGACACGCTTTGCGTGTTGGCTGTGTTGCTACTGCACCGGCTGTATCTGTAGGCATTTGAGCGGCATGGATGTGACCACAGCAGTACCAGTCTTTCTCAACTGCACTGTGGCACAGAATCATGCTGGATAAACATGATGTGCGGCTCCGGTTACAGCAAGATTGTCCACTATGCAATATTGCTTTTAGACATTCTTATTTTGAAACTCTTGGTATATAAGGAGCAGCTGGTCACACTCGTGTGGCTTCCAGCCAGTGGGGCTGCTCATCTATTATGGAACCGCATGTATTACTAGTACGAATGCGAGTATTACAGCAGCACTGTGGCCTGAGACCTCCTCAGCTGGGGCTGTGGACCCCGCATGCTCCCCCCATGGCGTGTGAGTTCCTCTGGAGGCCCTGGTTTGCCTCCTTCCGGCCAAAGACCCCCAGCTCGGCTACCTGACTTTGCCCTGTGAAGCCTGGCACCGGGCTCAGGCTTCCTGCCACGCTGCCCAGGGCGGGAAGACGGACGACGACCAGATGAAACACGTTCGCTTATTTACTACCCAGGGCTAAATGGAAATTCCATTCCCTCCAAATCGGACAGAATTTCATGGGCTTGACCTCATATTGTGAGGGGTCCTTTAGTTAGATAAATGAAACATCCGACAAGTTTGCTTCAATCAACCAGAGAGCTAATTCAACTGACCTAGATTCCGCATTTATTCTTCTATTAACTGATTTATGACTTGCAATAATGACAGTGATAAGAACATAAGTAAATGAGAACATAAGAACATACAGTAAGAGAGTTACTAATGAGAAGCCATTCGGCCCATCGGGCTCTTTTGGGGAGAACTTAACTAATAACTCAGAGTTGGTGAAACCTTATCTAGCTCTGATTTAAAGGAACCCAGGGTTCTATCTTGCGCTACACTAGCAGGAAGACTATTCCATACTCCAACTACACGCTGTGTAAAGAAGTGCTTTTTCAAATCCAGTTTAAAATGTTCTCCCGCTAATTTCTACCTATGGCCACGAGTTCTAGTATTTAAACTAATATTGAAGTAACCATTTGGCTGAACAGCATCCAGACCTGTTAGAATCTTATAGACCTGAATCATATCCCCCCTTAGTCTCCTTTGCTCGAGGCTAAACAGATTCAGTTCAGCTAACCTCTCCTCTGCCACAGATGGGCTCCCCTGCCCCATAGCTTCATGACCCACTGCAGGATGGATGGATGGATGGATGGATGGACATGCATTAACTTAATAAAGAGGAGAAGAATGTGTCACAGTCTTTTTGTTAGAGACTGGATTTTGTACATTTTTAAGTGAGTACTGGCACAAATACAAGAAGGTGCAGAGTACGTGGTGAGGTTTTAAAAGGTTTATTCTCTTCGTGTAAATAAGCAGCACATACACATGTGCTGAAGTCATCAAGATATAGCACAATATGAGACAGTGTCCACTGGTACAGAACACAGTCATATAGTGGCACTGTATCCGTTTATATTCTGTTAAGGGACGCTCTCAAACGAGGCAGGTCCTTAAAAGAAGGAGACGCCATACTTTGACTTTGCCACACCAATACTCCAGTGTAACACCCAAACATTTGCAGACAAAGTACTCTTAATCACTTTTCAAGTCAAGAAGTACTCAACAGCATATGACCATCTACTAAAATCTACACGAAAATACGGAAATCACAGCAGTTACATATTTCCACAAATACAAAAGTTTACAGGTGCTCACGGCAGACATTGTGACAGAGGGCATGTAGAACAACTCAACAGCATCGCAAAGCCACCCCACTCACATTGAGTCGATTGCATTACAATTTCGTTGTTCAAGTGACAATAACAATAAATATTTATCTCTTATCTCTCTCTCTCCTCCTATCGGCACCTCCTTTATTTACCTATATTGTATTTTAATGTCATGTTTACTATGTGTTATCTACATTTTATCAGATTAAATAAATAAAATTTATTATAGAGACTAACTTTTAACAAAAATATTAGTTCTTCGAGGCCAACATATTATTCTGTCAAACAAAAAAAACATCAAATATATATTTTTTCATAAAATAACTTTTGGCTTCTAAAGGTTCTATGCATTAAAGCACTGCTGGTCATTTAATAAAAACATCTATTTTGGTTTGAATAGGTTCAGCTGAATGATAGAAGCTGCTGCTTACTCTGAATGCTGGAGCCCTGTATCTGTAGGCAGCCCCACTGCTATGTTATACTTAAGCTGTGTGGAGATTTTACATACATTCTGGTACTAAAGTACAAGGGAAAGGTTTCTGTATATGTATTTTATTCTAAAATCTACACTCACTGGTAATAACATTTTGTGCCATTTGGCCATAAAGGAGCATTTCTAAGTTCTTTAGAGTAACCCTCTGAAAATTAAATCTATATGGTAAGTGAATGAACACCACTGTGGAAAAACGCAGCTAAATCTGAATGGACAAATTTACTGCTGATGTGGTGACAAACCCGCACTCGTGCATTACTGGCTTTGGGTGGTTAAAATATCTGATTAAATGTGGAAAAACACAACACATATGAAAGTCACTGACACATACACTGTAAGAATGAATCTCCCAGGACAGCGTGCGTGTTTGCAAAGGTGCTTGGGAAATACATACGAGGCAGTAATTCAGACTACTATTACTTAAAAGCCTTTCGTAACTTAAAATGTTCGTAAGTCATTATTCAACATAATTTTAAGGGTAGACGCAAGTACAAAGAACTAGGATGCTGGGAGTCCGCACGCTACGCTGCTGCGCGGTGGGAGTAGCGGCCAGAAGTCGTACTAGACGGAATTGGTGCGCAGAAAAAAAATTGATGTTGCGGACAGGAAACGGGAGCCTAATGAACACAATTTGGACTTACAGTCCTCTTCATTTGTATGTCTGAAAGTTCGTAAGTAAAGGAGCGTCTGTAATTTTAAGTAAAGAAAAGAAAAGAAAATAACAAACAGCATCGATCGCAGTGAGCTAATGGATATGTTGGTGTTGCTGATGCATAAAATGTTGTGATAAATGTAACTTAATTATAAATTAATTTACACTTGTAAATTAACAAAACTCAAACTATATGTACACATTAAACACAAAATATAGTCACAAATATTTCTCATTAAAACACTAGACTATCCAATCTGCACATATTGAAAGCTGAACTCTTTTCTCTTCCACTTATGCATGTTTAACATTCAAATTCCACGCACATTTACGCAAAAAAAAAAAAAAACGCAAAAAAACAAGCAACAAAAAACGCACATATCTCCAATCCTCGTTACACTGACTGTCACCTTACGGGCCTGACAGTAGACTGGCTTTCCTATGTGTTGCTACTGGGCTTCTGAGGTGTTTCTGTCATGTCCTCGGCTGGTACATTCTCTAAGGGAACCTTCTCCTTGGTAGGAGAAGCGGACAGGGTGGATTCATCCTGCTGTGGGAGGGGCTGGCCCAGGCTGGCGGGGTTGGCGGACCCACTGAATCCACGGGCGATGTCTTCGAAGGTCCGTCCTTTAGTCTCAGGAACTCGGAAGAAGGTGAAGACAAAGAAGATGATGAGAAAGATCATGAAGATGATGAAGACGTAAGGGCCGCACCATTCCTGCAAATAAGCCACGAAGAGAAAGGAACAGACAAAAACGAAAAGGGTTACAGACACAAAACGTCTGCTTAAGCAAACTAGCTTTCAGAAGAACCAGGACACCAGACACATGAATGAAAACACTAGTCAATAAGCAGAATGTATCAGTGAGTGAAAATGACTGAGAACGTGCGAACGAAAGCTCACCACCAGCTTGGGAAAGCTGATTCCTACAAGGAAGTTGGACGTCCAGTTGGAGCAGCCAGCTACAGCCATGGCGGCCGGTCGAGGCCCCTGGGAGAACAACTCAGCCACGATGAACCAGGGAATGGGCCCTGGCCCCATCTCGAACATGGCCACGAAGGCGAAGACTGCCACGATGCTGAGGTAACTCAGAGACGCTATGTCCTTCTGCTCAAAGAAAGGCACAGCGATGCTGTTACTTCCGCAGACGTGGGGCTACAGCAGACTCGCTTTTAAAGTTAATGCAGGGAGAACAATGTGATGCATTGAAAATAACAGAAACTAAGTAAAAATACATTGCAGTATAGAAAAAGATGACAATTAACCCACCAATAGTAATGCAATAGTAAGAAGCAGGGCGCTGACTGCCATGCCAGCCAGGCCGAGAAGATGGAGTGTTCTGCGACCCGCCCTCTCCACAAGAAACAGCTGGCAAGCGAAGAAGGAGCAAAGAAAAACATCCAGAGACAAGATTTATTCTTTACCTTTAGTCTTGCCATCACACTGCACGTTTTGCCGCATTGGGAATGACTCTGAGGGATTCGGCAGTGCATAGAACAGGGTGGTCAAAGACGACAGGACGGCAGTCTGCATCCGTACCGATACCACGGTGAAGACGGTGTTGACCACCCCGGCTCCGATGGTGGCGTAGATGGGTTTGGTCACTCCAGCAGACTCAAAAATACCGGTTGAGTAATAAAAGACCTGAGAGGCGGAGGATGAATGGAGGGGAGGAAAGAAAGAAGCAGAGGAATGAGGAAAAGGAAACATGCGACCTGTTTTATCCAACCTGCTGTCGACTTCTTTCCCAGTCAAAAGCCTTTGCATTTGCTTTCAAACTAAATTCATCTCAGGTGTATAGCTGTAGGGTTAGACGTCTGAAATGTACTCTGTCCTTTGGTTTAACTGGTCTATCTCCCTCCAGAAAACAGGTACATCCTTAAAGAAAGTGGCATTAGTCTTGGGTGACGGACGCACTTACGGCATTGATCCCGGACAGCTGCTGGGAGAGCTGCAGCATGATGGCGATGACGATGGGCTGCCGGTATAGCGGGGAGCGGAAGAGCTCGGGTATGGTCACCTTCTTCTCCATGGCCATCTTCATGCTTTCCTCCTTCATCTCCTGCATGTCCTCGCTGACATCCTCACAACCGCGCAACCTCACGAGGGCTGAGCCACAGCGAGAAGACAGGAGGCAGTTACCACACACTCAGAGCAGGGACTCAGACCCAGGAGCCAACTATTTCAAAATGAAGCAGGATTACACAGAAAATCAGCTGTTATCAATAAGAGCAGACAGCCCTGACTCTGATAACTGGGAATGAGTGCCCAGATTCTGCTATTACAGTCATGAATGAGTTTTACACCCCCCAAAAAGAAAATTTAACAACATAAAAAGGTTTTAAAGTAGAATATGAGCAAAAAGTTTATTAAAAAAAAAATTATATCAGAGTCCCGTTTTAAGATGTCTGCGCTACCTTTACAAGTCTGCTTTTTGTGTTCCTTGTGATGTCACATTTGTCTACAAGAAACCAAAAGGACACAGATACCGCTGAAACTTTCCTTAGGGGATAAACAAACCCGACACTGATCTAAGGAGAGCAATACTTTTCACTTAACTTCATTCCAAAAGAGGAAGTAAACCAGCATTCAGGCATGGCATCCCAACGGAATAATTTGGATTCGGCATTCCAGGCAGGGCATTCACACAGGCAAGGTGGTTCAACTGGGCTCTAGGCACCAGTTTCAGGTTGGAAATTTCAACAAGACAAGGCATGTTCATTGACAGGTAGGGTATTCAGAGAGAAGACATGTGACCGTGCATTCAGACATGGCATTCAGGTTGGGTGACATAGAGTACCAAGGGCATTCATTCAGGCTGTGCATTCAGACAACCTCAGCCAGCAGATTCACTTCAGGAATATTGCCAACCGTTACCATAATAGTAACAATACAATGCTTCTTTGATCTTTCTTTGTCATGAACCGTGTACTTCCTAGATGTAACTCCGCCCTTAACAGGAAATAACAGGAGTTGGGGGAAGGGCACACAACAGAAACAGGAAGTGATTATACACAAAGCTCAGCAGTTAAACATAAAACAGCATACATGGTCCCCATGACAACATCAGGTGAAAGGTCGTTTTCTTAAACTACTGCAGTGTCATAGAGTTCCTATAGACTCAGGGGGATTACAGCGGTTATATAGATCTTTATTGTCCAGAGTGTAGTTAAGCTAAGGAAAACTGCCCCAGGCTCTTGGAATCGAGAGAATCAGCAAAAGTTCTTTGCCTTTTCCACTGGCAAAAAGTACTGGTGCACTGCTGGGGACCGGAACGGCTGCCTTATCCCCTGTGCCTGAGATGGGGGCCCGGGTCAGCAGAACCATATCCGGACAGATATATGGGGCTGGAGGCCATTGATCATGGCAGTCAAAAGCAAAAATAAAGTTTGGATTTGATTTGTTTTTGGTCATGTGAATATTGAGAAAACCATAGCTAGAGTAAAGGTATATTTCACATGAAACAAGGCAACTACCCTCCATACTATTATTACACAGTTAGAATATGGAAAATTTCCAATTAAATACCAACAAGGCTTGTCTGATGTCAGAGCATCATGGGCACAAAAACAGACTGCTGCTTCATGAGGGATATTTATCAATGAGTTTTAAGCATGTTTGAATCTCTGCATTTGGCAGAGGCTCAGAATATGTGTTTTCAAATGTGTTTCCTTAGAGCAACAAAAACTGACATTTTCAAAATATTATAGCACCAAGTGAAAAGCAGCTACCAGCCATCATCATTGACTTACTGTCCTACGAGCTTCTCCAAATATCTGTGGTGACGACAGAAGGATCACATATATACACAGAAATTACTTAAAAGCACGTTTGTACTCTGGATGACAGTGAGTTCTGAGATGTCGATAAGAATTCCGAATAAACACAGTTGGCCAGTCAAAAAATCGATTGAGAATCTCAAAGGCAGCACCGGGCAGGAAGTGCAGGCACACCTTTGCGAGCGAGTTCCTCCTGGTTCCTGTTGATGAGCAGGAATCTTGGACTCTCGGGACAGAAGGGAAGCAGTAGAGTCTGGATCAGGGCTGGAATAGCAGTCAGGGATAGAAGCACCGGCCAGAGCATCTCCGAACCGAGCAGGGCCTCCAAGCCGAAGATCTGCGGGCAGAACGGGGACGTCTGATGGGGGCCAAAGACGGAGGGCACCGGGAGCACCCTGAGGTTTGGGGGTCTCCATGCCAACAGACCGCACCTCTGGGTCAGTCTCCGCTATACACAACAGACTTCAACATGTGCCCTTATCAGGTGGAATGAAAAGCTGAATTTACACCAGTCATTGCAGACCAGGAGAAAACATCAGACATCTAAACAAAGAATCACCAGTCACTCTGTGAAGCTGCACCGCATGAACGCCGCACCTGCGCAATCAGGATCCCCACCACGACTCCCAGCTGGTGCAGAGTCCCGAAGGCTCCGCGGAGGGCGGTGGGGGCCACCTCACCCACATACATGGGAGTCAGGCCCGTGCACAGGCCACAGAACAGGCCAATCACCAACCTCCCTGCTATCACCATCTCGAAGGAGGCGCAGAGAGTGGACAGCCCCATCAGGACTGCACCAATCAGGGCCAGGACATTGATAATCAGCATGGAATTCCGCCTGGGGATACAAGGGGACGGACGCAGAGGCAGGATCTCAGACGTGGTCTGTGTCGGATATTATCTGCAGGTTTACGCTGCCACATGAGGGCGCCACTCACCGGCCAAAGGTGTTTGCCATGACGCCCACACTGAAGGATCCAGCCATGCCGCCCACGCTGAAGATGGCCACTGACAGGCTCCAGATCAGCGTGCACACCCCGGGGCTGATGGGCTGCCCATAGCGCCCCACCCAGGTGCTGTTGAAGAAGGCTCGCAGTTTCTGAGGTGCACATACAGACTGACACTCAGCGCCGACCGGACCATTCAGCAGAATAAACCAGCTTAATGGACAGAGCATAAACACCATCTCTGAAAGTCTCCCAGAATAAAGCTAAGACATAATGCATAGCAAAAACAGGAAAACAATTATTATTATTATTATTATTATTATTATTGGACAGAAGGTGAACCTCACCTGCTCAGGGGCATTAATGACCCCAGTGTTGTAGCCAAACTGCAGAGAGCCGATGACCACAATGGAGACAGAGAAGACGAGGTAGCACGTCACCTGCTGTTTCTGGGAATTCATGGGGACCAGGGGGCAGGGAGGCATTCAGACAGAATACAGAAGTGTTATATTACAGCTCACTACAGCTGACCAAAAAAGTATTACGCAGAAAAAAAAATAAAAAATTGTTGGGGGTTAGCTCTGTGTGTTGACTCCAAAGGTTGCTGGTTCAAATCCCTGGGTTGGCAGAGTGATTCCACCATTGAGCCCTTGAGCAAAGGCCCTTAACCCCAAATGCTCCAGGGACTGGCTGCCCCTACATTCTCCTCTACGCCAGTTCCATGAGGCGGCCTCCTGGGATGCTCTTCCAGCTGTCCTGAAGGAGGTCCCACATACGTCCTGAGCACTCGCTGGCTGCTTTTCCTTCACTCTCTGGCCAAACTCCTCCAAAACCATTCCTACGATGTTTAGGTCAGGTGACCAGGTCATGTGATGCAACACTATCACTCTCCTTTGGAGGCAGTTTGGCGTGTCATGTGACTGGCACTGTGTGTACATACAGCTCTGGAAAAAATTAAGAGATCACAGTAAAATGTTCAGTTTAATTTATTTCTCAGTTCATGGGTATGCACCTGTGTAAAACCTTTTTGCAAACTCTAGTCTGATTCTTCTCTGTTTCTCGTTGATGAAGGGCTTCTTGCTTCATGGGTCTTCAGTCCTGCTTCTAGAAGCCTGTTATGAACTGTCCTAGCAGTGCACTTCACGCCACTTAATATTTCCCATTCTTTCTGAAGGTCACTTGAGGTCATCCTCTGATTTATGAGCCGCTGCCGGCTGAGGTGACTGTCATCTCTGGCATTAGAAAGTCGCTCTAACTACGAGTATCTCCTGCTTCACCGTTTTCTTGTGTGCTGCAGTCTGAGTAACTTTGATCCTGGAAGCAGCCTGCTGCTCAGTGTAGATGTTTTACTTCATTGCCGCGAGGCCTTCTACTATAAGGTGAGTAACATGGCAGAGATAGAGACAAATTCAAAACAAGTGTGTGCAGACATTTGACTGGTACTATATAACACACATATTGATTTCACAAAAATTATTATAACACCATATTACAATGAATAAGCAACATTTGGAAAGCATAGCATATATAATATGTTAATGGCGGAGTAGAGAGTTGCCAACACGCCGAACACATCAGCGCTCTCTCATTAGCTTATTCATTCACCTTCCCCGCTTAGGCCCCGCCCTCCTGTCCTTGCTCTGTCTGCCAGCTCAGCATGACTCACTGAAAATTATATCAATACAGCCGGCCAGCCTTGGAAAGGATTTTGCAAACATGCATCTGTTAAAAATATTAACCAGCCAAATTATTTATGCAAAAACTTCTGAAAAACTTTATCTCACAAACTGGTATGTATGTCATTTTAAACGTGTAAGGATACGTAGCAGTAGGATTTCCCGTGCTCATGTTATAAGATGTTTAACTAAGTATTTAATACTAAGGGTCTTTGTTTTAGTTGTGACCAATCAGTTCCAATGAAGATTTAAAATTCAGAGATTTATTTTCATTAATATCAAAGATTCTTTTGTTTACATTTATAAAGCCCACTCCAGAATGTTCCGTTTTCTTTGAAAATTCATAGCAAATATGTTAAATAACAAATGAAGTGATTTTTGAATTACGATCAGAATCAATGGGTGTTTCTTAAAACCAAGAATGCAAAGATTGTTCTCGTGGTCTTGGCAAGACCGGTCTTGCTAACTTGCCTTCCAAGAATGAACTTGGGGCTCAGTGAATCATGGGATTGGTCTCATTCAGTGAGGATGCAACTGACGTATCTTTGATATTTGGGGTGGAGCAAGAGCAACATCCAGGGATTTTTATCGTCCTCTGTACTCATGTTCTTAGTATTGGACCTGGTCTTCAGCAGTGGCAGACGATGAACACGAAAGACTCCACACTGGTGACTGCTTACAAACTGGTGGCAATTTAGCAACCTGGAACCTGTGCTAATGGGTCTAATTAATCTACTTCAATTTAATTACGCTATGCCAGTTATGCAGGTACAAATCAGAACTGTCATTATTTCAGACAAAATTCTCACTATCAGAAATAAGATCACCAATGTCTAATAACAAGCAGCAGGTTATTCTAGTTACCTAGTTATGCTATTTACCCAGTTACCTTGTCCGAACATCACATTATAAATGTATTGCTACTTAATGGATGTTTCCAAAGTCTATTAAGATCGACTCCCTACTTAGCAAGTAGAATTAGGCATCTATCCACTCAGCTGCAGTTATAAATGAACATGCATCACTTTAGTATCCATTCCAGCAATCAGTTCAGTCCTCGATAAAGTGCCGGAACCATGTCAGACATAGTTTTTGTTCTTCTAATTCCAGTTCAGGACCAACTGTTGCCAAGTTTACAGAACATCACGAGCACCCAGACACACGATTCATCACGTAATGCACACAGTATAAGTGTCATGCTGAGCCAATCCAAGAGCCAGATCAATAGCATCATTACATACCCACATACATTGCATACGATTCTCACTTTGTACAGCAGAAATATCTTTTCAGTTTCTCTGAACTTAACCTGCTGTCACAGTTCTTGATAGTAGACTGTATAACACCGAAAAACACCGCAGTCATATTTTTAAATATGTTTTATGTATTTATTAAATAATTCTACTACAGTTGACTTATTCACCTCCACTAATGCAAATCTCTAAGAGAGTGACTTATTTGTTATCAAAAAATACTTAATACTAATCATTAAAATGAGAAAAAATGGTCAGGGTCTGGTCATTAAGATTATCTGGATCCTGCACATGCAGTCATTTGTTAAATATGCTTCCCAAATCCTATCAGTTTGCTGTGTAGTATCTGGAGGGCTGATCTGAAAACAGATGTGAGCAGCGTGTACGACAATATCACATGGAGCGGCGGCAAATGAGGGGGACACACCCAGCAAACTGTACAAGTTAGTCTAACTTGCCCAACTCACCCTGTATCTTTTTCTGAACTACATTCATCCTAACAAAATACACATAACAAGACCATTGCATTGCAGTGGCATATCAAAGAATGGAGCAAATTATTTAATGCAATAATCTAGGTCCTGAGAAAATGGTGAAGAAGAACAGAATAATGAAAGGCCTACCTTCTGGCCGTCCATTTTTACGGTTAAGTCTTCGGCAGCCCTAATAGCAGAATCCGGAATGTTCCCTCAGTGTGTTGTCAGAATCTCTCTGGCCTGTACAAAATCCAGCTGTGCATAAATGCAGAACTTACCAAGAAATATTCCAGTGCAGGGTTAGAGATCCTGTCCAATTCATTCCAAATTTGCATCTACTCTTTATATTCATAGCTCAGTAAGATCAATAATAAAATAAAAATATTCTGTAAAGATACCGATATCACTGAACACCAGTTAAATATGATTGATAAATGTTGGTGTTAGAATGAGGCTGATATCTGTGGTCCAATATAAACAAAAATGATTATTAAATTATAATTCATGAATTAATATGAGCAATATACATTCGTGATGATTTGTTATGATCTCAGATATGACACGATGTCTAATATCACATATTACTGACATTTCTCAATTATTTCTATCCGTAGAATATTTATGTCATATTTTACATTTCAAGCGTAGCTATGACAACCGAAATACATAGTCTACATTTTTCACATGCGCCGCAATTCAATCTTGTTTTTATGATGGCATACCTCGGTAAAATAGGCTACTCGGTTTTATTATTCTTTTTAATATAACGTATATGTATTGTTTTGGTAAAAATTCTAGCCATGGTAATATTCTGTTTAATATTCTGCACTCACTGTATTTCGTGAAATGTCTCCGAATGCTGAATTCTTGTCTTTTATAATCCAGTCTGGCTCAGTACTGTTACCAAGCAGCGATCGCCTCTCAATTAATCCAGTCGCCGACCGTCCAGCTGCACGTACCCCATGAAGAACCTCGATCGTTTCCCAGTTGAGCAAAGGAGCCCCCAAAGCGACACGTACGCATCCTATTTTTTCTCTGAATGCCCTTGCCCAGTTTTGCAGAGCATCCCGTGACATATATAGTGTTACGTATTACTGCGCAGTCACCCCCCTCATCAAATCTTCATCTGGGAATCTAACCCTAGTGCGTCCCCCTCGATGCCCTACGCGCGCGACCTTGAGGACAGCAGTGATGGATTTCTGATTTTCGGCTGATTTCCGTCACAGACACCTAGCGAATAGTAAGCCAGGCTTCTCACTGACTGATACTATTCATACGTAGTCCTGCCATTTCAGCTGATTTGCAACATGTGACCAAATATAGCCTGACTCAGACCCGCTGCTTTGCAATTTCCCCAACGATTACGACTTACATTCAAATATAAGTCTACTTTTAACATAATGCATAAGAATATTTAATATTTTAGCGGGCTGGGTCTTATAAACCATTTCATAATGATATTAATCAGCAATGTCACTCGAGTTTTATGAAAAGGGTGACCGAGCCTTTACTAGGGGCGTCTAATGGAAATGGCACTTTATTTATACTAATTAGTGCACATTTACACGTCCCTGATTCAGTACAAGCCGCAAACACAGACAGACAGACAGACAGACGCACGCACGCACCCAGGTGGGTACCCTAGAACGAAATATCTGTATAAATATACATTTCGGGATATCTTTATATCATCTTATACATAAAAGTATGAATTATGCTATAGTTATAATTATCCGTGTGTGTGTGTGTGTGTGTGTGTGTGAGTGACTGGTGTGTGTGTGTGTGTGTGTGTGTGAGTGAGTGTGCAGTGCGATGGGTTGGCGAACCATCCTGGGTTGTTCCCTGCCTTGTGCCCGTAGCCTCTGGGATAGGTTCCGGACCCCCCACTACCCTGAACAGTATAAGCGGCTACAGAAAATGGATGGATGGTGAACAGGAATGAGAGCGGATCAGGACCGCGGCTCGTGGACAGCTCCCCGCAGGAGTGCAGAGCTGCATCGCGTCTTATTCAGCTAAGCCTGTATCTCTGGGCGCAAGGAAGTTTAATAGACACGTCAATCATGCCCTTTTCTTCATTTTGCTACCTTGTTTAGTGTGCTTTTTACCTTTACACTATATAAAGTCGGTCTGTTTTTACTGTAAATAAAATTCCGTTTCTTAGGGAAAATTATCCTGCTTCCGTTTCATCTGCAGTGTCATCTGCAGCTAAATATCACATAAAATGTTAGACACCACTACAAGGTTATAACGCTGAACTGCGGGACAGAGTTGTCTTTTCACAAAAAAAGTAAATAAATAAATGTGTATATTTTTGTGATTTGTTTCCTTTTATTGCACGATTGCATCTGCTGAGCTTCAGACTTTACTAGACCGAAAACTATATACAGTGACCGTTCTATGCCAAGCAGCTTGGCGGTAAATGATACTCCCAGATAAGACTCAAAGACTTTAATGACACCACGACGCTACACTGAGGCAGATCTGTTTTAGAACTGTTTTATTGAACACGTATTTAATTATTTGTTTGTTTAAAACAATCATCCATCACCAACAGGAGTTGAAGTAAAATACCAGGCATTTGTTCTTACCCACCGGGAGAGTGTCGTCTAACAAGTCGATCTGATCTGCGAGCTCTACCCTCACAGCCTCGGCAGAGCACGAGGGACACCTAATTGGGATCGGAGACCTTTATCTTCTTCGCTGATGCTTATATCTCATCTGACGATCTATGGGGCGCTGCTGTGCCCTGCTTGGCTCCACACATGCATTTTAGGCAAATGGTGATCTGGGATCTCCAAAGTGCCCTTTATATGTCCAATTCTGCATGTTTGTGTTCCTCTGATGGACTGGCATCCCAGCCATAGCGTTAGATTGATCTTGCAATGATTATAAAAATCAGGATTGAATGTGATTATAAAAATGTTGTAAAGGTTTATTGTCATGTATGTATGGTACGGTAAATTTGTTATGCGCCTAAGTAATAAAGAAATTACAATATGTTGCATCATAGCTAGAAGAAACATTTCATGTTTACTTGTACAAATGACAGAGGTATATATAGAATCTGGGAATACAGTCTCAAATGTCCGATCGTACCGGCCTTTGGAGCATAACAAGCCGGTGCATGAATCTTGTGATCTGATTGCTTTCCTCGGAGGAGCTTGAGGCTGACGTCTTTTATGACGCTGCCCGCCTTTCTAAGGCCGTTAGTGGTGGATCGGCGAGGGGGTGGCGGTCTCATAATGACCCGAGGTTTCTTTGGCGCCCCCTACAGTACTCCCTCTGTTTTGTACTTGCTCAAGCAGCTCAAGACGTGATGCAGCTTTTGAGGATGGATTTTTATAATGTTTCATGATAGCATTCGGAACTTTCCCAAACGGGCCTTCCTAAAGACTGTTCATATGACCATTTGAGTTTGTTGTTGATGGTGACTCCCAAGAATTGAACGATTTCAGAAACCGATGATCAGGCCAGAAGGATTGATGCAGGTATGATATCTAGCAAACTTAACCATCCAAGAAAACTAGGTTGGCATGAAGTGCATTGGATATGGCGCCCTCTGTGGGCCGGTCTCAGTGGGCAAAATGCAGGGGGAGTGAATGTGTGAAAGGTGCTCTTACGGAATGTCAGGAGCAGAAGTGCTGAGAGAACTTCATTATGAGTGATAACACCTCTATAACAATTCATCATATTCACATCACCAAAATAACACAACAGCAGTTTTTAGTACTGTTTTATAAATGCTGTGCTGTTATAATTATTAGACAAGGAAGGACGAAAAAACAAAAGCACCAGGTTTGTTTTCAGACAGAAACCCAAAATTGAATTCCTGAGCACAGGCAATATACTGAACAGTGACAGAAAGAAAATGACAGATGCAGGATTGTAAGACTGTAGTTTGTAGTTCACACACAGTCCAAATGTCACTGATATACCACACTGAAACCGAAAAATCACCAGACGCAAAACAGAAGGCAACCAGCCATGCTACTACATCGGCTGACAAATCATCGGTGACACACTGGTACAGGCAAGTCAGGAAGCAGCCAGTGGCTCTGGAGCAAACACCCAAAACTCGATTTTTATTCACTAATTAGGAAGGATCACGAAATGACATAAGTGCACTGATTTGTGTGCTTGCCAGAGATCATCTGTATGATAGCCAGCTGTGCCCGAGCGCTCCTCTGAGATGGTGTGAACCCTCTTGTTCTTCACCTTATTCTCCTGATCTCACCATGCCTGCCCTCGCACGTCGCGCTTATTCTGTAAGATACAAAGCGGTGGTTTGCTTGTAGTCTTTCCGGCGTGAGCGGAAGGGGAAGGCTTAGTACCGACAGCATCTCACTCACCCGTACATGGGTAGGCAAGAGAGTGTAGCTAAATGTGTATTATTATATCTTATATGATCGCCAAACGAAAAGTGAGATAGTGGGGTATTTTTTTGCCATTTTGCGCTATTTGCTAACGCTGGGTGTCTCCCTGTGCTTTGCCTTGCAGAAAGAGGACAGCACGCCGGTGCTGAAACACCTAGTGAGACGGATAAAGCCCCCGCCGGCATCTCACTGCTGGGGCCGTTTTGGTCGTGGATCTGACTACCTGATAAGCTTGAGGTGGGGTAGCAGAGTCTCCGTGTTTATATATTACCATTTTTGCTGGGTTTTACCGTTTCAGCTGCAATGGTCATAATAAGGGGTAGGGGTCGTGGATTTGGACGATCGATAGGATATGCCCATGAATGCTGTTTCACGTCGCTTTTATACGCGGCCACGCAGTTTTTAAATGTCGTAATTTGAACCCATTTAGGCGCTGCATACAGTGACAGAGAGCGGTGACTGTGATTGTAAATACGGATTCAATGCAGATTGCATGCTTATCTCCGTATTGTCGTATTATGTCATGTTGTGTAATTATGTTACGCAGTGTATACGCATAACTCTGTGATACGTTGAATGTGGTCCAGCATCGATGATGATTTTATTCTCTAGGTGCTCCATGTGAATAGAGCCGATGATTCTGCATATTATGCATGCGGTTTTAAAAATAATTTTAGAAACTGTATACGCTATCAGTTTTATGTAAGTAAAATGTCCTGGCACTGTCACATTTATGAACATAATTTGCTTGACCACACTTTTGCCAACCCCGTCAGACAAATACAGCGAAGGAACAGCAGATGAATATCTGACACACGCGTGTCCATTATACTGCAGACAGAAGACAGCGGACTGTGCTTTATTCTATTTTGAACTGTGTAGCGGCACGGGCAAATGTCCGAGTTTGTCTGTGGAATTGCATTAAAATGTTTATTTATTTCAGTTTGTTTCCAAATAGAAAGAAAAGTAAAATTAGTTTGACCACAAATATTTTATCTTTGAATTGGGGTTAGGGTTAGACTCGGTTCATCTCTCTGCCGTAATTACAGATGCATTGGGATTTATGCCTTTTCATCGTGCCTTGGCAACTGACCCCGAGACACCCTTTGACGTAGTGATTCCCGTGCTGCTTTGCATTTTGTTACCGTACCGAATTTCTTACCGTTTTGATATACTGTAACTTGTTACTATTTTTGTCATCGCAATTTCCTCCATTTAAATATCTGGTCATGAATCCTAAGGACATTCTGGCATGCGACAGAAAGGACTGGTTTGGGCACTCTGAGAGACAGACATGACTGGTTTGCGTACTCTGATAGACAGACATGACTGGTTTGCGTACTCTGAGAGACAGACATGACTGGTTTGGATACTCTGAGAGACAAATAGGACTAGTTTGGGGTCTCTGTGAAAGACAGACAGGACTGGTTTCAAATACTCTGTAAGAGACAGATAGGATTGGTTTGAGTACTCTGTAAGAGATAGACAGAACACTACTCCCAAAATCCATTTCTTTCAGGTCAAACAGTTTTTGATTATACTTGGTACCTCTTGAGTAATACAGCCTTCTTTATGATTCAACCGTCAACCGTTCAGATGTGTTATTTTACTGTGCTATTGTGAAAAGGTCATTAGAGATTGCATGTATTTTTTCCATTATTGTACAAAACACAAATGAAACATGTCCTTTGATGTTGCTCTGGAACATTTTTCAGGATACAGAGAAAGCCTAACTGTCACCATGTCGACTTCAATGCTACGGCGTCAGCTGAAGAACATCGTTCAGAACTTCTCTGAGGCAGAAATCAAGGTGAGAGGAGACTCTTCCTTTCAGAGTGATCGCCCTCCATTCTCACTTATCCAATATGCAGCTGTGTTAAAGGAAGCAGCAGATAAACACAGGTCACTGTTCTGCTGTGAACCCCCCCCCCCCCCCCCCCC